ATTCCTACTTTCTTGAGAAAAGAATTCGTGCAACTTTTACCGAGATTTATGGTAGAAAATCAGGTTCTGACTATGCATATTTTGTAAACGAATTCAACCCTTGGAACAACAGAATGCGGGGAATTGTTTAGAACTGTTTATTTCTCTGGAATTTCTGAGCATTAAACATGTACTTTTTAAGGCTATGCTCCTCACGTATACGTTTGCGTTTGTAAACGCATAGACTTCCTCAGTCTTCACGAGTTTGGTAATGGTTCAGGGATCGTTAACGCGTTTTTGCGGGAAAAAAAAAAGTTTTGAGATGATATCCTATTTCGCTTGTGCTTGGGTGCTAAACGTATAAAGGAATTGCGTTTTAAGGCAAACGTATACATCTGGAGCAGCCTTGATGGCAACGGTGCAAACAAAAGTGTGTAGATTGTATGATGATTATGATACAAAGCGCCGCTTAAACGTAGAAGGGCTTTCGCCGATGCTTTAACCACAAGTTCAGAAGATGACAAACCCTTTGAAGTTATTGCTCTTCAGAGCAAAATACTTAACATGCGATATTAATTCATGTGAAATATAACGAGGTCACGCGTTACTCCTTAGAATATTATGTTCTTGCGAATCAATTAACCTTCATTCGTACTTTGCATATTTAATCGACATCTCGCTCTCCCAGATTGAAGACTTGTTGTGAACGACGATAGCTACCAATCACACTTGTCATTAGGCAACTAAAGCTAAAACAAAACTAGACACCATCCTCTGAAGTTATGTCGTGAGAGCATTGGCTCGTAACTAAACAACTGAATTCTCGGAAACTGAAAGGTCACAGAAATGTCCCTTCAGGGTTTCTTCTTTCCTAGAATGTTGGCGTCATAATTATTGCTACATGAACAAGTAGCTAATTGCAATTAGCTCCATGGTTTGATTTTTATAGATTGTTTCCTGTTTTCTTTCTTGAAATTGTCATATTCTGCCGATAAATATTCTTCGTGCCGTCCACAATGGCTAGCTTATCGCAGAGTGTTATGACATTACTGGCTGGTCACGTGACTTAATTCCGGTTTTTCCCAGAAATCATGACATAAATATCCACCGCAGCAGTTATAGTCGTATGCTTATTTGAGGATGCAAGTCTGTATGTTAACGTAGAGCGTCTGCATCGACAATTTAAGTAAAGCTTTTATACTTGCGGTTCATCGAGGAGCAATGCCGGACACACAAAGCGGGCCTCAAGATCCAGCATCACCGGGTGTCGACACGGAAGCTCTTTTCTTGAAGTCTTTGATCGCAGTATTCAAAGATCATCGCAATGTCTTGGCCCGTTTACCCGAACTAATGGAACAGTGCCTTAAGACGGAACCACTAAATCCAGACCTGGCTGAATCACGATCCAAAGGGGAAAGCAGGTATAAATATTTAATGATGCTTAAACGATTAACTGATGATAAAATGAAAAGATAAATTGTAATTCATATTTGGGGAATTCGTTTGTGATCGTTTGTTCATGCAAAATAATTGAGTAGATTATGACTCGTGGTGACCGGATGTTTCGCAAAGATCACATTTTGACTGTGCTTTATAAACAGGGATGGTGACGCAGAAAGGTTAGCAGAAAGGAAACGAAGCGATTTGGAACGAAAGTTGGAATCCATGGAGTTCGACATAAACGTAAAGACTAAGAGGTAAACACTTAAGAAACTTGAGCTGTTTGTTTGTTCACGGATGCTTTCCTGAAAATCAATCAATCTTCGTTTTTAACGAGACGAGGAAGCGAAGGAGACAGTTCCAATATAATTCTCTATGTTGTTTTCGGTGAGAAATACCCTAGTGGATAACGTCATCTATCACATAAATCGAAGGGGCTGGCAGCTACCTCTGATCTTCGAACCAGTAAAGAAATCTTTCAATCATTTGAGAACGGTAACGAGCATGCGCATAACGCAAAAACAACGGAGGGAACCGCAACATGTTTCGCCACCATTTCTGTTCAGTATTTGCCTTTGATTCGATAACTTCTTATTCGCTGTCAGCAATTTTTAGAAATTTTTAGGCAATCAGGACTAAGGAAATTTGTGTCAGATTAGCGACAAGTTTCAGGATTTCATTTTCCTGCTAAGCGCGGTAGATTTCACATTTCTGGATGCCTGGAGAGTTTTCGCTGTCGCAGGAGGA